CTGCCCATTCGGCTGCAGCACCTCCAGCACGTCGCCGGGCGGGAGACGGGGGTAGGTGCAGAGGTCCTCGTGCCGCCAGATGTAGTTCACGTGGATCGAGTGCGACTCCAGCTCGTCGAAGTTGCAGTCGGCGTGGATGAACTTGCAGCTGTCGCCCATCGTGCAGCTCGTGGGCTCGTGGGCACGGTAGTTCCGGCAGCGCACCAGCCGCGTGATGTTCAGACGGGCCGGCGGCATGTGCACCACGTGCTCGTTCGGGACGCTGTACACATACTTAAAGTCCGGATCGAAGACTTCTGTGGAGCTGCTCATGTGCTTCTCGGAAGACGTTTTATTATACCAGAAGGACGTGTTAGTGTCTTTCATAAGTGGGCTCCGCTTATGAACCTGTTCGCTTTTATTTCTCGTCACCGTGTCATCAAGCTGCTGCATTTCAGTTTTTTCCCTTTCGTTGTTGATCTGCGCGTTCCACCTGTGAGAGTTTTGAGACTATTTTAGAAAAAGCCTTGGTTTTAATGATTCGAGTGATTAAAGAAAAAAATTATCTGAGAAATACTTTTGTCGACCTACTTATTGTTAATAGAAGACAGAATTATCCAGAAAATAATAGATCGGGAAAGTTTCCTAAGCCTTAGTGCGACGAATTTGAAAAAATACTAAAAACAAAATAAATAATTTAGAATGAAATTAACTAACCGTTAGTACTTAATATGATACCCTCTATACTGCCAGAATAGGATCACTTTCAACGAAGATCGGTAGATATTATTCAGTTAGATTCCTTAGAGACGATCGTAACTATTTTGAATGTTAGGTCTAAGATTTAAAAGTTGGGAAGCAAAAAGGGAATAGGCAAGGTGGGTGTTTCTATGTGAAGGAAGATTGATTTCTGACATAGAACAGATCCACAAGCAAACAAGAAGTAATGGAAATTCACGGTGAACAATGGAAGGGATATACTATTCTTCTTTTCGTCTACCAACCAACCTCTCAAGCGGTAGGGAGTGACGGTAAAAAATGGTAAGAATTTAGATGGACGAAAGGGAAAGAAACCAATATGCACAGCTTGTTTCGCAAAATCACCGCGTCACTGCTGGTCTTGTGAAATTTCCCATTGAGTACTTCAAACACTGAAGTCGTTCATAGAAAGGTAAGCTATGAAGAGCCCAAATGAAGACCCTCTCACGGTGATCTGTTGCAGGTCCGAGAAATATTCAGCTCAGAAGACGTCCCTGGAGAACACGCCAGAAGCACACGATGACGGAGATTTGCGCTTCTTTGCGTAAAACGACTTATCGTACACGACGTCGTTCATGGTGTTTTTCCTCAACTACTAGAGGATATTGAGGCGGGAATCAAATGCAAATTATCACAAAAGACTCCCAATCAGCTTTAATGAACCTCAATATTAATAGTAGTAGTTATCCAGCAATTGAAGCAGGAAGAGGTTTTTTGCAATTGACGCAAAACACAAAATAGAAGAATAAATGAACTAAAACAAATTTAAGCCATGGGGCTATGAGGAGAACAATATTATGCTCCCCCCCCCCCTTGTCTGACGCCTACCAACAGAATAGCAAATAGATATTGTAGTCTTTTGAATCGCATGAAACATCTAATTAGCCCCATGCATATCCAATGCAAAAAGAGGAAAAATAGTTGTGGCCATTCATTTCTTTTATCGTTGATGGTTGATTTGTGTTAAAATGGAAAAAACTACTACTCATAAACATCTGAATCTTAACATCAGGGAAAAATGACAAAAGATAGAGCTAGAAACTGGTCCCTCTATCATCCAATTCGCAAAGCGTTTATTGAACGAAATCAATCTGTGATAGGGTCGCGCACTATTCACATTCACATGAGGAATAAATGCCAAAGTAAGTTTGTCTGCTGTGGTTGCACTCCAAAAGAGATGGGAGCCTTTGGCCTGATAACACCTACTTAGAGTCATCCTAACTCAAACTGAGAAGGACTCTAGGGGGGAAGGAAGTAGGCATTACTACGCTAAATCGTAGACACTAATGGATGCAAGCTCGTCTGCGAGTGCAATAACATCAGGATGAAAAATGTCAAAAGATGCGTAGTAGGGATGTTGTAGCATAGCCAATTCTAACGTGGTAGCTTATTGTTGAAAGTACATAGAGAACACTCGCTTTGGTTTCCAATAGAAGACAAACATTGTTGAGAGAAAAAGAATGTGCTGATTTGCTCAAGGTGTAGAGTAATATATACATGCATCTACATATTCGTTTTGAAGGAGACACTCTGAATTCAAAAGGATTAGGTTGCAAGAAAAGAACAAAATTTTAAAAATCCCAACTTCTTGAGAGATTACAGTACACGCATCGGAAAACAGGCCCATTGTGGATCGGTTTTGTTACGTAGGTAAAGAAGAGAACAACAAGGGCCATAATATGCTGGCACTCTCATCCCCATCCCACCAATTTCCTAGTGAACGAGAATTCAGCATCACTTCAAATTGAGAATGCTTCCGTTTTTTATGTGTGGGTTAGATTCTTTTTAGGTATCTTCCACTTGGGAATCAAATAAAGTATTCATTAAAACGATAGGAAGACGAGAACTAAACGTGGATCGAGCCAGCTAGTCAAAAAACTCACAAAAAAAAAACTCTCCCTTCTGACTCCCTCCACCACATACACATACACTCCCATACACAACAATAAGTCTCATCTCGTGTGATTCATGTCACTCGGGTAGTGCTTTGACGTTACCGATCAGCCCGAGGTAATCCCGACGTAATGCAGGATACAATAACTCGCTCCCTTCCCCCTCAGGAGGGACGATTACTCGTTATCCCCCACCCGAGATTTTCCAGAAAGCTTATCCTTCGCCACCACCTCTGCATCGCTCGCTAGACGAATTCGGTTGATCAGCAGGCTTGTCGAAATACCAGGGGTACGTGGTAGGGTGCGAAGAATGCCTAGTCGCCGCGGCACCTCGTAGTAGGTATCATCCGGGCTGTTATACTCCTCACCGCAGGCCACGACGTGGATGTTGTAGAACTTAATCATTCCCTCAGTGACCCCAGTTGTGGGAACGTTGGGGATGACCTCCGAAACGTACTTACAGAGCTTCACCTCGTTCACCCGCTCCTCGGTCGTCATAATCGGCCGACGCTTATAAGCGGTGCACTCGTCGTCGCCGCAAACCCCGACGATGAGGCGATTACCAAAGCTCAGCGCCTTCGCCATCATCCGTTTATGCCCCGCATGGCAAAGATCGAAGACGCCGTCGATGTAGACGTTCCGCACCGGAACGAAAATCGGCAAGTTGAGGGAGTACGAGAGATCGACAAGAATGCCGATGACGTAAACGACGGTGCCAGTGACCGCGACGACGGCGTTGAAGATGGAGCCGATGCAGATCAAGGTCACCGCGGCGTGCATTCGTCGACGGCATAAATGGCTCACATAAACCTCTGTGGAGAGCAACCCCACCACAAGGGCATCCCCCGTGATGGAAAGAATGCTATACTCGTTGAATGGAAGAAGGTAGAAAATGGGCATCACACGCGCCACAAGGCAAATCGCAATGCTGCTCTTGTGCTTTACACACATCTTCAGCAACGCGATGTTGAGAAATGAAAGACATAACAAGAAACAGTAGCCCCATTGAACGTAATGGTGGTTTACATGGTGCAAGTAGCTCGCAAAGGGCGGGAAAATCCAACGCAGCGCCATCAAAGCCAACATCAAGAATGATATCTCCGAATCACGAAAACAGTAGGTCGCGACATAGGCCCAATTCTTCACCTTATCCTTGCGTAAATTCTCCGCGTTAATACGCCCGAGCACGGTGTTGAACTCAATCAGCTGCAAAGTGAGGAGCACGTACCATTTCGTTCCGATATCGTTGACGTGCATTACCTCCAGCACCGTCAGGGCGATGAAAACACGTGAGATGGAGCTGCACACGCGCGCAAAGATATCCCCGAGGCTCGTTGCGATTCGGCATCGCTTCGCGTGCACGCCATCCAGCGAACCACAAACAATCGACACCATCAACAGCAGCGCGGCGAAGATCGTCGCTGTCTGCACCGGGCGATTCGCCTCGAAAAAATCCTTGTAGGCGCTGCAGTTGTGGTTGTGGTTGCCGGGGCCGACCGCATGCACCGCGCACTCCCGCAGTGGCATCCCCCCCCTTTCCTCCTCCTCGCCGTAGCGGTAATAGGTATGAATAAGCTGATACGCCTGCAAGCAACACAAAAGACCAACCATCGTGATCGCATTAGGCGCGATCTGCTCATTCAACAGTTTCACACTGATGTAAGTCCATAATCGGAAGAAGATGCGGGTTACAAAGCTCACCGGGCGTGTATTAACAGCGCTATTGGAACGATAAATAGCCTCGCGCTCTTCAGTTGTAAAGAAAAAGCTGTGCTCGATCAAGTGGTGTGTCATTTACAACGGGGAAGTTAAAAGAAACAGAAAATTACTTCTTGTCAATTAACACAAAGGAAATTAGATAACGAGAAAGAAAAAAAGAAAATTTTCTAAATCTAATTAGAGACACTTACGAGCAGCACGCAACGCCACGACAACAAACGGTTTGATGATCAAAAAAAAACGTTGGCTGAGACAGACAAGGGAGATCTGTGATCATGAAATTCTAATGTGAATATGCTAAATTGTATTTTTGTGTACACCCTTTGAAGGTTATAGTAGTATTTCTTTTATTCAGTATGAGTAAAATCTACCTCGTAGATTTCTTCAATTCCTAGATAATGCTACTGTCGAATTTGTATAAATCTATACTTATAGAACGTGCAAATCAGTCTTTTTTTACTTGCTAATAATCTTTATGAATAAACTCTTGGCTCTTTTATGAAGATGAATTTTAATTAAAAACGAAATGCAAAGAAGAAAAAGCTTTTTTATGGACTCCCTCACATTTTCTAGCGGCCCATCTAAACGTGTGTTGCAGTGAAGATGCAAACCATTTACCATCCTTATCCGACTCGATCCACAAACATCTCAGCATAACGAAAAAAAAATAACTGCGATGTTCGCATGTGTATAAACAGTAACAAATAAATCAAGAAAAATTCGTTTTATATGTAAATCTACCACTACTCACTGTGCTTTTTTTATTTTTATCAGTTGCCTTCACAACCCTACCCCTTCTCACCCTAACACCGACATCAATATTCAACATCCACACGACCGTATCCTATTCAGCCTTGTGTGTTTCCTCTTTTTATTATTCATATTAATATTAGCAGTCACAAAAATGGATTCACCTCTAAAACAGAAGCCCTCTAAAAACGATAGTACTAAGGAGGGGGAGAGAGGGAGAACAAGATGTAAAGAAACGCGATAATCAAGGGTCAGGTAAGTGACTCCAGATCAAAAAAAAAGCAACCCCTAACCTGTTTCCAAGACTCCCCTCTTACCAACTCCCCCTGAACAGAAACCTCATACTGTGCTCTACATTAATGTTTACAGTGTTTTTCATTATATTGACTACTGGCTACACTCGGAGTGATTTTATCGCCAAATAACGAGAAAAGGTATTTTTGCACCAGAAATATAGCCAAACAAATGGCCTAAATCTCCAAAAGATCGTTTACATACGTTTCAAAAAAAAAAAAAAGGTAACAGAAAAGTAAATATACAATCCCATTAGATACATGAGTGCATCAACTCTGGAGGGAAAAAAAGCATGCACATAAAAAAGAAGGGAATACGCGTTTACATGTTACTCATATCGGTGAAGTGTGTTAAGATACATACCACGAACACAGATATGCCTTTTTTTTTTGCACACATCAAATGGCAAGGCGAAAGTATTTAGTAGACAAAAAAAACAGCATAGCAAACAGCTTTCTGCAAACCGCAACTTCGGATTTAAAAAACAAGATACCGATTGTGGACAGATGAAAATTAAAAGAGTCCTTGTATGGCTAATTTTTGTAAGCGAGAAATAGTAGTCAAACAAGAGAAATAGGGATATGGAATCCACGTTTTTTTCTATCACACAGATTCGAAAATTACTTTGAAAAAAATAATGAAAAGCACAAATCGGATATGAACAATATTTAAAGAATAAAATAAATTAATACTATATGTGTGGTTGTCTCTCTCCTCCCCCCGTTCTCGCATTACTTCTCTCGCTATGTATAATATATATATATATATATATATATATATATATATATAT